AACAAAAAGAATTGACATTTCGATAACAAACTGGGACTTTGCTGAAAGCAAAGTCCCACAACTAGAGCCACTCGTGGCACAGAGTGGGACTTTGCAAATGTAGCAAAATGCAAAAGACCCCGAAAAAATCAACCTTCCACGATAATTAGATCAAGCGCAAGAACAGTGTAAAGTTGATAAATTTTCATTTTTTAGAAGATTCTAATACCGGAAGTGGACGTCAGACCTCACAAATGAAAGTATCAGCAGATAGCCAAGGTCAATGAACTTTGATCCTGTAAAGGAGAAGGTCTAAAAAGGTCAAGATCAAGAGATATACGCCATTAAAATTTCAAATTGCTAACGACAATAAAACCGGAAATTGACTTAGGACAGCAAATATAAACGTATAAATAGATAGCCAATGCCAATGACGTTTGATCCTACAAAGGTCAAGGTCAACAAAGGTCAAGGTCAAAAATTGAAAATTTTGAATTTCCAAAACCTGTTCCTTTTTTGAACTATGAAGCAAAAACAATTGAAATTCTCAGACAAAGTGGCTCAAAATTTGAGGTAATAGTGTGCAAAGTTCCATTTTGAATAAATGTATACTTTGCGAGTTATGCCCCTGGCCAAAAATTTCAATAATGAGAAATTTAACCCGGAAGTGCCACGCCCACCTCAATTTTTTTTGAATATTTTAATTGATATTCAAAATGTTATCTTATATTCCAAATGTCAAGTTCTTACATAATAGAGGTCAAAAGATATAGGTCAACAAAAGTCAACAAAGGTCAAAATCGAAAAATGAAAATATCCAAATGTTAAAACCCGTTCCTTTTTTGAAACTATAAAGCTGAAACAACTGAGCTGTTAACACAAACTGGCCAAAAGGTTGAGGTAATTGTGTGCAAAGTCTCTTTTTGAACAAACGCATCCTATGCGAGTTATGCCCCAGCCCCAAAATGTAAACAATTAGTAATTCAACCCGGATGTGCCACGCCCACATAAGTTTTTTTTGTCATAGGTGAATTCATATTTAAAGTGTCTAGTTGTATTCCAAATATCAAGGTTCTACATAGAATAGGTCATAAGATATACATACACGAAGCTCAAAAAGACACAAATATGGTAAAACTAAACTCAAATTTGAAAAAATCACGAATTTCAATTTTGCTTTAAAAAAGCAATTGTTCTATATCTATGTAAAGTGCATGAGAAGCACATTAGAAAACCGAAAAAATTAACCCTCTAGGTTAATAAGTTCACGTGCTAGAGCAGTCCAAAGTTGCGAATTTGGCTTTTTACGGATAGCTATAAAACCGGAAGTACATGTCGGAGGTCAAAAGTCAAAGTATCAAATGATAGCCAAGGTCAATGACCTTTGACCCTATAAAGGTCAAGGTCATCAAAGGTCAAGGTCAAGAGATATACGCCATCAAATATTGAAAAAATTCAATCGCAAATTGCAAAAAAGCAAAATCGAAATTCAAAAATCGGCTTCCTGCGATCTCTCTTAATTTTTATGTTCTTTCATTTGACACCAAAATTTTGAAATTCGGTTCAGCCAAATTGGCTGAATAAAAATCGAAGAGTTTCAGGGAAATCAAAATGGCGGCCAAAGTTTCACGTCTGTTCCGGATTTTTTTTTCTTCGTTTTTTGGTCATAACTTTGTCTATCTATCAGCATGAATTTTTTTGTCCTATACAAATTACACCGGAAGATATTCAACCGGAAGTGAACATCGATTTCCTGTTTAAACCGGAAGTGAAATTGAAACTTTTACTGTACCATTTTGTTTACTTTCTTAAACTGTCTTTGCTCAATTTTTTTCAGATTAATCAGA